TCCTTCCTTCCTTCCTTCCTTCCTTCCTTCCTTCCTTCCTTCCTTCCTTGGTTCCCATGGACTAATACAATTTTTTATAAAATTACCTCAGACATGATTGTGTACTGTAATGTATGTGGTTGTATATGCACACACGTGCCTAGCAGGGAGAAGAGACACTTCAGTCTCATATTGTTAACCTACTGTCCACAATGTAGATTTCTAAAATGTTCTCTACCAGCCCTTGAATATATCACACCTCTGTGTAATATTATACCTCATACACTGTACAAATGTGAATACTACTGTGTGCTTTAGTTGGCAATGCAAGCTTTGTTGGCATAAACAAAAGTTCACTCTGATATCTAATAATTAAGTAAGGTGAGTATATGTAGAAGTTTTTGTGGGACAAAATGGTCTCCCATCTACTTCCACAAGATTACATACTTCCTTCTTTGTTATATAAAATTCAATATTGCTAATTTCCTAGTGCCATTTCAGCCATTTATGTCATTTTGAAAAGATTCTGCATTTGTATAGATGTTTTTCTCTCTTTCTTTCGATAAATGTGGTCTATTTATTAACTGTGTCCTGGATTGATTTATTTTTTAAAAAATGTGATCAGATAGCTGATTTGCTCTGGGTGGCAAGCTTGTTTAATAGCAAATTACCATGTATCGAATCACACAATTTACAAATCTACAAGTTTACTTACACATTTGCATCAAAAATTGTAGTATGTTATGGATGCTACTGATGCCATTGTTCTAGTATAGATTCATAGGAATGTTCCAGTTGAAAAATAATTATTCAAATTAATGGATGGATTCTCAGGATCAGAAAAACAATTTTCCTCACTATAGACATTGTAACAGTGGTGCAATTCAAAAATTTTTACTACCAGTTCTGTGGGCGTGGCTTGGTGGGCATGGTAGGGGAAGGATACTGTAAAATCTCCAGTCAGAGGTGATATTTGCCGGTTCTCCTACTCAAAATTTCCACTACCGGTTCTCCAGAACTGGTCAGAACCAGCTGAATTGTACTCTGCATTGTAAGGTTTCTTATCAAAGGGGAACCCACACAGCCATATAAATGTAATAATCAATTTAAATAAATAATAGTCATTTACCACCATAGGAATTAATGCTGGCTAAAGGCACTGGGAGTTTCCATCAAACTGAACTAGGTCAATCCTGATTGAAGGATAACTTTGGAAATAAAAAGAAATTTTGCTTCTGGAGACCAGAGAAATTTGTCTGAGGCAGCCTGAAATCTGAGACTACATGACAAGAGATACCCTGCCCTGGTTTCTGTAGCAACCAACATTTCCTAAGCAATTCCACAAAATGATGACCACATCATCAGTCATGCCTGCAGGAGAAGAAAAGCAGGAATATTGAAATCAGATCCGTGTCTTTTATCTACTGCCCAGTAGAATAACTTCAGACAGCTCACATTTATGGAAGAACAGAGAGGATAAATAATGTTTACTTCTCTTCCCTTCCTTGCTGCTCTTATGTCATTGTCACCCGAAGCCATTCTTACCATGAGTGGCTTGCAATTATTGCTACAATTCTTAATTAACATGATTCATCAACTGCAATTATATTAGCAAGAGTTACATGAAACAGAATCCACAGAGCCTAAGAGGCTACAAAATTAATGAAATTGGGGGTAGGGGAGATGGACTCCCCCCTTATTTCAAGGTATTAAACATTGCTTGGTCCAGGCTATCTCAAGCTATCTCAGGTCATATCCACTTACATGGGGTGGGGTCAGTCCAGGAGCAAAAGGATTTGAGTTCAAAGTCACAGTCAGCTATGAATACATTTTGTCTCACTCATCATTAAAGTATTTGAGAGATAACCTTATGTAATGACCTGAGATCCCCAGAAGAAGGGTGAGATAAAATAAATATGTCTTGCAGACAGAAAATGAAGATCCTTTATTTGCAGGGGTGAGGCACATTTTCTGTGGTTTCCTATTTCTCTCTTTTTTTTCATTTGTGCTTGCTTACTGCACATTTGTCTAAGATTTTTTCTGAGAAAAATCATAGCACAAAATTGATATTTTGCTTAATATATACAGGTAGTCTTCAACCTATGATCACAACTGAGTTCAAACTGTCTGTTGTTAAATGACACAGTTGTTAAGAGAATTTTGCCCCATTTTAGGACCTTTCTTGCCACAGTTGTTAAATGAATCACTGCAGGTGTTAAGTTAGTAACAAGATTGTTAAGTGAATCTGGCTTCCCCGTTGATTTGGCTTGTCAGAAGGTCACAAAAGGTGATCATCATATGACCCTGGGACACTGCAAATGTCATAAATATGAGTCAGTTGCTAAGCATCTGAATCCTGATCATGTGACCATGGGGAAGCTGCAACAGTCATTCGTGTGAAAAATTGTCATAATTCACTCTTTTTCAGAGCCATTATAACTTCAAACGGTCACTAAATGAACTGTTGTAAATTGAGGATTGCTTGCATTTGTCTCATATTAATATTTTTGCTAATACGTAAGTTCTATAACTTATAAGTTTAGGAGCCCTGGTGGTGCAGTGGTTAGAAAGCAGTATTGCAAGCTATCTCTGCCCACAGTCAGGAGTTCAATCTTAATGGGCTCAAGCCTTCCATCCTTCTGAGGTCTGTAAAATGAGGACCCAGATTGTTGGGAGCAAGATGCTGACTCTGTAAACCACTTAGAGAGGGCTGTAAACAGGGGTGGGATTCAACCGGTGTTACTATCAGTTCGGTGATTAGGTTTTGCACACGCATGCGTGCTTCGCGGGAACGCACGCCAGACGCATCTGCGCACTCATGTACTACACCTTAAGCTGTGCCACCTGGACAGCTGATAAGCGCTGCATGCGGGTGCGCAGCATTTGAAAAACCACTTTTTTCCTGCTTTTTCAACCTCAGCTGTGCCGCGCAAAGCAGCTGAGGTTGAAAAAGCAGGAAATAAAAGGACAGGTAAGAGCCCAGGTGGCCAAACAGCAGCAGACCAAACAGCAGCAGACACAGAACCGGTTCTATAGAGCCGGGCAGAACTGGTAGCATCCCACCCCTGGCTGTAAAGCACTATGAAGCAGTAGTGCATCTGTTAAAAGATTGCTAACTTTGCTTTAAAAGAAAAGGCCAGCAAATTTCTCTTTCTCTGATAGGTAGTTTAAGAAGTATATACCAGAGATAATCAGCCAACTGGTGTTCAGCCAGTTCTCACAGGTTCTAGATAACCAGTAGCAGAAATTCTGAGTAGTTCAGAGAACTGGTAAATATCACCTCTGGTTGGCCCGGCCCCCTTCTATTTGCTGCCTCCCAAGTCCCAGCTGATCGGAGTCCCAGCTGATTGGCTGGGTCTTTTGTTGCCCTGCATAGGAGAACAAAGCTGGAAAGCAGGATAGTGGGGTGGGGTGGAAATGGAGATTTTGCAGTATATCCTTCCCATGCCACACCCACCAAGTCATGCCCACCAAGCCATATCACACCCACAAAGCCATACCATGCCCACAAAGCCATGCCCACAGAACTGGTAGTAAAAAAAA